GAGCAATACAAAAAATACCGAGTTTTTCCTAGGAAAAACTCGGTATTTTTTGTATTGCTCAGTATTGCTCGGTATTGCTCGGTATAACTCGGTATTGGTCTTCACATGATGATATTCCTCGTTATTGTTTGGTATTGCTCGGTATTTACTCGGTATTTCTCATTTTTTAGCGTGAATTTAACTCTGGGAGGACGTATGTCTACGTCAGGTGGGAGTACGCAATAAAAATTCCAAATCACACGAAAGAACCTCGCTAAATCGTCCAGTCTCTTTGCTTCGAGCCCAAGCTTCTGCCCTCGATCGCTATGACCACACGTCATCCCTCCCTCACTCACTCAGTCTTTCCCTATATGAACGGTAATTAAATACCCCTTTCCATTCTCTCGCTCTGCTCTCCAATTATTCTATTACATTCTCTCATGGGTTGCTGTCTCTCATCATTCCCCAACACATCCCCTTCTCTTTCCGACGACGACTACTCCGTCGACCCTCCAACGGCGATGGTCATCTCTGTCGACGGTTCTCTCATCGAATACAACGTCGGTATAACTACAGCTAATGTGATCGAGGCCAATGGGAAGGGTTGCATTCTCTGTAACTCAGACAAGCTCTTCTTCGATGCCTACCCACCAGTAACAGCACCCGAAGAGGTGCTAGAGCCGGATCAGATCTACTTTTTGCTTCCCGTCTCCGAGCTCGGGCATCGCCTCACAGGCGCAGATTTGGCAGCGCTTGCTTTCCGGGCGAGCGCGGCTTTGAGGAAGGCCACTGAGACGCAGGGGAGGCGGCGAGGAATAATAAAGGTGGCGCCTTTGACGTTGCCGTGCGAAGCGGCGAAGGAGAATAAAGGGTCTCCTTGGCTGCGCAGGGTGTTGAGCACTGTTAAAGAGATTCATGAGGATTGATGTCTTCCAGATTCATTGAAAGTGCTGGGCTTTGGGGTTTCCTTAGCCTTGCGTGTAACGGTTTTGTAAATATGGTTGCGTGTAAATTAGTTGTTTTAATTTAATGTTTTGTTAAGAATTACGCTTGCCTTGTATTGAGGTGAAGACTAGTTTGAGACCTAAGTGCAGTGACGACGACGTACGGCGACGAAGAACTTGAGCTCGTGACAGAACTAATAGAACTTACATAACTCCGTCGGTGAGTCATCAATACCGCTGCCGTGGTTGCTTGCTTGCTCGCCAGCGGTGGCCTCGCTGTCGTTATCTTATTCTGTGGGATTTGACTGGTCACTTCGCTATGCTGCTACCGAAAAAAAGAAAAATAAAAAGTTTTTGGACGGCAGACTAAATATGTGCAAAAGTTCTACAATTTTGACCTCCCAACTTCTTTTTTTTTTTTCAGTAGTGTCAAAAATCTTTAAAGGATTGACTAATTGATTTTCACTCGTTCTTAATTATTTTTAATGGCTGAGATTCAAAGAAAAAATATTTAAAAAGATTTTTAACCTTCTAATTATATTGATTTTTTTTTAAAGGGGTATCTAAATGTTGTCTCCTCCAAAGAAGATGTATTGCGGTATAACTAATTCTTCAGTGGGCCTACCAGTAACCGGGGTACAGATCCACGCAGATATTTTCTCCCCAATTAACGAGTCGTGTCGCACGAGAAAGGAATCAAACTCAACCATGCTCACCCACAAACTCAACTAAACCCAGTGGGGTAATTATTTTGAATCTTATTAGTTCAAAATTCATGTTGCAAGTGGGTTGCGCTGAAAATGAGTTCAGCTGAGGAGCTTGCTTGTTAGTTAAAATCTCTTCTGTGCTCAAGCTAGAGCTCAATTAAAGCATTTGTAATGGTGTTCTCTCAAGTCCTATAGTACTATACAATAGGTCAACTTAGTTTGAGCATTGCTTGAGTTAGGTTCAAATTGTAATTATCAAGCAGTTTGTTTGGTAAACTTAAATAGTGATACCATCGAGCAGTATGTTAGCTAATCAAATAAGTCTTATTGGAGTTCTAATGAACAACAATATTTAGCAGCTTCTTAGATATATATATATATATATATATATATATATATAATGAATTAAAAAAAAGCAAAAATGGAGAGAAATAAAGGATTTTCAACAGGTATCGAAGACCCCGGCCGTCGTACCTTAGGTCCGACCGGGATGGTTTTAAAATTTGAA